ATTTTGTACATGTTCTGGTTTAAGATTTGGTATCTGTATTAACACAGGAGTGAAAACAACTAATATTAATCAAATAATTGCTTTATAGCTGACCCATACTTACTATTTTGCATGTTTTCTTTCACTGAGTCCTCACAATAATCCTACAGGGTAGAAATTATTAGTAACTTTGCTTACTGATGAGAAAATGATGCATAGAGAAATCAAGTAGCTTACCTAAGTTACACAGCTAATGAGATCAAAGTGAACTAAAGTCTGAATACTAGTCATCCTGCTCCATTGACTCCTAGTTATACTGCCATCAATCTTGGTTAAATTTACTAAGTAAATAAATATGGTGAGATGAAATGCTAACATTAAGAAACTAGACTTTTCACCAAATAATAAAACACTTCAATAGTGGTCATTATAGACTAATAATTGCAAATCACAAATCAGCTCTACCCCTTCAATAAGCTACTCATGGATAGCCTGGTTCTAACTGTATGCTCTCTTGGATAAAATGTGAAATTTTTGAAGAAATATGAGGATATAATTTAACGTTAGAAAACATTTTTTTTTTACTCTTTTTTTTTAAAATATATTTTATCGATTTTTTACAAAGAGGAAGGGAGAGGGAGAGTTAGAAACATTGATGAGAGAGAAAAGTCAATTCAGCTGCCTCCTGCACACTCCCCAATGGGGATGTGCCCACAACCAAGGTACATGCCCTTGACCGGAATTGAACCTGGGACCCTTCAGTCTGCAGGCCTACGCTCTCTATCCACTGAGCCAAACCAGTTAGGGCAGAAAACATTTTTATAAATTAATCAATTTTCTTCCAGAGACCCTTGAAAATAATATTGTGAATACAAGTATTACATGAAGATAATACACTTTTACAAATTTATTTCCTTCACTTGCTTCATTGCTCACACACTTGAACATCATGTTTTCAATTGTGAGAAGATTAAGATTAATGCGTTGTGTGACTGTTTAAATTACACTGTTTCTAGAAAACTCAAAATTTTCTCCAGTTTTGTTAACTCATTTTTAGTTACTTCTCTTTCTGATTTTCTTAGTTCATCAGCTCTTTAAAAACACGGGGGACTTTTTGTGTCTTCTATCCTATTTCCAGAGCTCTGTTTTCTGTCTTTAAATATGTCAAACATAGTAGCTCTATGAAAAAAGAAAATAACATTTCACCTGTTTTTTTCTTTCCTACAGTGCATTTTATGCTTTTGAAAATCATCATGATCACTTTCATTCTTTTTTTTTTAAATTTCTTTATTGGTTAAGGTATTACAAATGTGTCTCATCCCTCCCATTAGCCCCCAACTCCCCCTCCCCCCGCACTCATACTCTTTCATTCTTGATCAACACTTACTATAACAGCTTCCCTGAAGCAAAAAGAAGTAACCAAAGCAGGCAACATGCTGAATGAGCAGATGTGGGGACTAAATCTAGCCTGATGTCCAGCTGTAGTCCTTGGCCACCTAATTTATATAATTTTAGGTAATTTTTATGTAATTTCAGGGTTTTCAAAACCCTGCATGTTTCCAGATCTTTTGAACATTAATTCGCCATGATCCTGGTTCATCATCAGTTTAGAAAGGCAGGTCTGTCGTTAGTTCACCATTGGTAAAACACCATAATCATGGAAGATTATTGCTAGAACTACTTATCAACTTGAGCTATGAGGACAGGACATTTCACTGTGTGGCAAGAAAACACAAGTAAGGAAAGGACATGTCAGGGCTGAGATCTCTACAGTAGCAGAGCACACGAGGGTGTCAGCTCTTCTGCAGGAGACAGGAACTTGGAAGGTGTTTTTTGTCTTCCTATGTGTCCATCATGGGAAAAGCACTGAGAAGATGGTAAAAATAATAAGATGTAAACCCTTTTCCTTCCTTCCTTCCTTCCTTCCTTCCTTCCTTCCTTCCTTCCTTCCTTCCTTCCTCTCTCTCTTTCTTTTCCTTCCTTCCCTTCTTTCCTTTCCTTCCCTTCCTTTCCTTTCCTTCCTCCCTTCCTTCCTTCCTTCCTTCCTTCCTTCCTTCCTTCCTTCCTTCCTTCCTTCCTTCCTTCCTTTCTCTTTCTTTTCCTTCCTTCCCTCCCTCCCTCTTTCCTTTCCTTTCCTTTCCCTTCCCTTCCCTTCCCTCCCCCCTCCCCTCCCCTCCCCTCCCTCCCTCCCTCCCTCCCTCCCTCCCTCCCTCCCTCCCTTCCTCCCTTCCTCCCTTCCTTCCTTCTTTCCTTCCATTGTTTTTAGAAAGGGAAGAAGGAAGAAAAAAAAATCTATTATACACACCAAAGTGGGGATCGAATAGCACCTAGGTATGTGCCCCGACTGACAATCAAACCCACACCCCTGTCACATTTTGGTATAAGAGATGACACTCCAACCACACCAGTCAGGGCTAGACTCTGCTTTTAAAGCATTTCCCATATAGTTGGGGAGATTAAACCCACGTGACCTAGGTAGAACACTATATACAATTACTATATTTCTAGAAGCCTGGTGCATGAAATTTGTGCATGGGTTGGATCCCTAGGCCTGGCTGGCAATCAGGGCCGATCAGGGTGGGCCGATTGGGGCCCAAAGGCCCCAGCAGGGTCAGCAGAGGAGGCAACAGTTGCCGGGCCAGGCGCAGAAGGAATGGACACCAGACGCCAAGGCCACCATCATTGGCGCCCCACCACTGCGCGGTTCCCCACCTCTCCCCCTCCGCCTTCCCTCACCGCCATGCTGCCACCACAGTGGGCGGGCAGTGGGCTGATCTGTGGTTGGCTGTGGGAGCGCACTGACCACCAGGGGACAGCTCCTATATTGAGCATCTGCCCTCTGGTGGTCAGTGCACGTCATAGCAACCGGTTGTTCCAGTTGTTTGGTCGTAACAGTCGCTTGGGCTTTTATATATATAGATGCTGTATTGTCAAAACTGTTAAGAGTTCAAAGAAGCACACTAATACTTCAAGATTTCTAGCAGCATCTCTAGAGATAACAATGAAGAAGTAAAGAGTGAAAAGTCAGGAGAGTGGTTAAAGAAGAAAATAGCAATGTATCTGAGGCACACTCCACTGACAGAAGGGTTGCATGGCAGCAGTTCCCAAAAGATTAAGCAAAAATGTTTTCAGCACAATGTGGCTTTGAACTTGGGACACCTTAGAAAAGAGACCTGGATTCCATGTGTGGCCATGACGCCATGATGCCTACAAAACTGTAATTCAAATTATCTGTAAAAGTAAATTAAATGAAATTTGCTTATTACCCTCCTAGTTTATAATGTGTTTAGCTCAGGGGTGGGCAAACTTTTTGACTCGAGGGCCACAATGGGTTCTTAAACTGGACCGGAGGGCCGGAACAAAAGCATGGATGGAGTGTTTGTGTGAACTAATACATGTTAACACTGCTGGTGGTGAAGGAGCCGAGGGGAGAACAAGAGAACCCTCCGCTCTTTCGGCTCCGCGGGCCGGATAGAACAGCCGAATGGGCCGGATCCGGCCCACGGGCCGTAGTTTGCCCACGGCTGGTTTAGCTCCTTTGGGTTATAGCAGGTATTATCTAAAAGCAAAATGACAGTTACAAAAGAGTCATGGGAATATAAAATACAGCATAGTGAATATAGTCAATAATCCTATAAAATAAAAGTGTAATATGCAAATAGACCGAACGGCTGAACAGTGGAATGACCATCCAGACAACCATCTGGATGGCCATCTGAGACCACGCTACAACACCCACTGGCACCAGGCCAGCCAAGGCGGGTGCGATGCGATTGGTTGGGGGCCCTGTAGAGGGAGGCCCAGGCCATTGGTGGGCTGTGGAGGGTGGGTGGGGCCTCCCTCTGCAAGGGAAGCCCGGGTCCCGGGTGCCAGAGGAAAGCCGGTGCTGGCAGCCGGGGGAAAGAAGGCCTACTCTTGCACAAATTTTGTGCATTGGGCCTCTAGTTTTATAATAACTACTAGAGTCCCAGTGCACGATTCGTGCATGGGTGGGGTCCAGCTGGCCAGCCCAAATGGGGGCCCATCGCGTCGGGCCAGTGGGGGTAAGGGGCTGTGGGCAGTTGGCCGGCTCTGCCCCCATCGGGGCATTGGGGGCCGATCAGGAGCCAGGCCAATCAGGGCCCAGATCAGGCTGGTTGGCTGCCGCAGTGCATGTCATAGCCACCGGTCATTCTGGTCATTCTGGTCCTTCTGCCATGCTGGTCACTGGGCTTTTGTATATATAGATGTATGGTACTAAGTGGGTAATAGACTTATTGGGGGAATCATTACATAAATATTTAACCACTAGGATATATACCCGAAACTAATATAATATTGAATGTCAACAGTAATTGCAAATAAATAAGTAGAAAAAAATAAAATTATATATTAAATGCCAATTTGGGCATGGCATTGGGGACTGAATTAATAGAACCCCATAAATTCTGTTATTGCCCTATAATAAAATACTACAACCTAAGGAAACATTGGTAATGAGAATAGCATCAGCACATTCTTTGAAAGATAACTGAAAAGGAGTTGCCTATGCTGAAACACCTGTGTTTTCAGTGACTTTTTTCTTTGTTCCTCATTATTCTCTTCTCAAACTGCCTGAGGGAACCTTGGCAGAAAGTTTAGCGAGCTGTAACTAACAGATAGCAAAGAGTGGCATTCAGGGATGTGGGAAGCTTTGAGTTTGGATTTTTTGAATCCTGAAGAGGTTCTGCTTTAAAGAGTGAAGGCCAACGCCGTTCTTGGAAATCTTTCACAGATAACTGCATTTATGTTATGATAGGACCAGAGTTTTCAATGAGAAGTAACTCAGTTGGTTAGAAGGAACGAGGAGACTGAGGGAGTTTCAGCCCCTCCCCAACACATCAGTCTATTTCTCTCTCAGAGAAGCCAGTGGCAACACTGTCACGTAGAGGAATTTTCTGTTACTTAATTTTAAAAAATAGTCTCAGATTATGGAGTGAAAATGACAAGAACCAGAGCCCACTTCCCTCAATTTTGACTTCTTATTTTGCTGTTGAATGTAGAATTTTGGGTACCCTCTGGACTCAGTGCAATGAAGGATCATCTGGTGTCGTGCAATCTACAGCAAGAACAGACTTGACTTGGAAATACTTGTTGGCTCGTAGGGAGTCATCTACAACTTTAACTTTGGAGGTAAATCGGGGACGATGTTACTGCTTGTATTTGTTATCTGGGTTTTATTAGTGAAAACTGATGTTGAATAAGAATTGCTTTAATATGAAAGCTTTGCTATTAATATAATTAACTGGGACTTGGAATTTTATGAAAACAAATACCCTCTCACCAGCTCTTGCTTTGAATACGTGTATCAGTCTAATGCTTACTTAAGAATTTAGGATTTTTTTCGCTATTGTTCTTTAGGATACTTTGAAGAAAATGTTGTATGAATCCATGAAATATATTAATGGCTGTTTTGTGAATACTTACATTTTTTCAGGAAGATCCAAGCTTGTTTGAAATTTATTTTTACCATTTTATTTTCTAAAATAGAGATTTCTGTATTGAAATGTATATAATTAATTACAAAGAACAGAAACATATGGAGGGATAAGGGTATCAGAATGAAGTGTGGGCTGAGATTCAGTAGGTATTTTCTCTAAGACATTGGAGAGATGAAGTGCTAGACAGTCCCTGGAACATGGCTACACCTTTGCTGTATTGTTTTGCGTTGATGAAATGATTGCCTTTCACAGTCAGAAGTGAACATAGGGTGTCAAAAGTCAACAAAGCCTGAAAGACCAGCTTGTACTGTAGCATTTAATGTTCTTTCTGTGACACCTCAGCCCTCACCCCCTGCCACCCTAGCCTGTTTCCTAAAGGCTCACTGTGAGCATGTATCCGGAGTAGTGAATAATGGGGTAGGTTAAAGAAGAGTGGTTCCATGTTTAATTACATAAATAATTTTCCAGGCCTGAGCATGGAAAAGAGAAAAGAAAGATGAGATCTGAAATGGGGTGGGACTCAGAGTTGGAAGCAAAAGTATATTTGTCAGTTAATTACGTGAGGAAAGTGGTATATTCTGTGGGACTAAAAAAAGCAATATAAGAAAAATAGAACTAAAGTCTAGAGATTTGGGTCCAATTTCTACAAACCATTGGCTTTTCCAATAGCAGCTCTGTGTCCCCAGCTCATGGCCAGGAAGAGGGTCCTGAGAGCCTCCAATCATTACTCACTCACTTGGGGCAGCAGGAACTCTGAGGAGATAAAGCAGGGACTGTGTCCTGAGCTTGTATATCCCTAAGCTCTTTGTTCCCTTTGATTTTCCCTTCCCTGCTAGGGTGGAGGGGCCATTTCTGTGAGATCAGCTGTTCTAGGATATCTAGGAATTGCTAATTATTGTTATAAACTATCATTAAAGCCTAATTAAAAATTTCTTTGGTCAGAGCTTATGGAAAACCAGATCCTAATGCCATTTCATAACTAGTGGGATAGTTGAAATATTAGAATAACAGCCTATGTGTGTCTCCACTGACTCTCTTAATAAATCAATCAATCTCTACTGATGTCCTGTTGTCAAGATTAAATGTGACCAAATATCTACAACACTTTGAGAGGAATAAGAAACAAGATGTGCATCTGAGCTGTAGAATTTATGTGATGCTTAGCATGAAAAGGGCCTCAGACCATGTGCCTGTGAATAAATTCTGAAGCATGTCCCTTGTGGAAAGCAAATCTTCAGGCTTGGCGCCTGTATTTATTTGTGAGAGGGACAAGGAAAGAGTACAGGAAATGGGAAAGGGACCAAGTAAGGTGAAATGATATTGAAAAAGATCAAAGCTTCCTCTTATGTGAGTCTCTTAAACATTACATCACATTATAGTTCAGTTTTCTACCTTAAAATAAAATGGATCTTTAAGGGGAACTTTCTTCCTTACAACATGGTTATTTACATCAATGTCTCTTCTCCTTTATTTACTTACTAGAGGCCCAGTGCATGAATTCATGCATGGGTGAGGTCCCTCAGCCTGGCCTGTGATCAGGGCTGATTGGGGCTGTCTTGCCCAGTCCGGGGAGAGGGACCACAGGAGGTTGTCCAGCTGCAGGAGGTTGACTGTGGGAGCGCACTGACCACCAGGGCAGCTCCTGTGTTGAGCATCTGCTCCCTGGTGATCAGTACTTGTCATAGTGACCAGTCGACCGATCATAATGGTCACTTAGGCTTTTATATATAGAGATTAACTACTTGAGATAGAAACTATGGCTCATATTTTCTGTCTGTATAAGATACAACATAGAGCTTTGCATATAGAATATCATTTGTTGATTTCCAGCTGTTATATGGAGATAAAGTTCTTTTCATACTTGACAGCTGTGGCAGCAGATAATAAAAGAGATGGGTAAGTGTTTCAGAGGGGGCATAGCTTCCATTTCCAACCATGCGCTTTGAAAGACAAAACATTTTAATAAGTGCCTAGAATTCATCATTTTTATCTGGCCATGAAGCATGTTTCTGAGAATTAAAAACAATTATTCACAAGTATATATTTCTGACAGTGGAGCCTATTTTCATCAACTGCAGGCACAGAATGCTAGTTTTTAAAAATGCTTTTGAAAGACAGCATGTTATGTAATTATGGTTGTAAAATTGTATCTCCTAGCTCAAGAACTGTTGAAAGAAACACAGCTGCTTTAGTTATCTAGAATATCAGTGTCATTATTTTTATGGGATGCTTTTGAGAAACACTAATTTGTGAAAGAAAAGCATCCCAGAAGGAAAATCTGACAGCTTAAATTCTCATGCCCAAAGTGTTCTCAGAATCCTAATTGAAAGGTTAAATACAGCTTTGTTTAACTTCTTCACAGAGCCAGTGAAGTGACTCTGAATGAAATCTGAAAGTTTACTATGCTTTAGACAGAAAACACAGGCTGACTGAGAAACCATGAAATGCTGATTGGCATTCTAATATGATTTTAACTGGTTCTAGACTGTCAGAATAAGCAAAATCTTTCTCACAGTGAAAAATGGGTACTTGTATATGGCATTCCATTTTTGAGACAGATTAAATAGCATGTTAGTTTATTATTGCCTGAAAGGTGATGCCAATGAAAAGCTGCCCATTTGGCCTTTTTAAAGAAATCAAAACTTAATCTTGTTTCATTGTCAATCATTTTTGGTAGGTTTAAAAACTAAATTCATTTGTGGGCAAACCTTAGGAAATGGGATCTGTCATTTACTCTGTGGAGGAGTTTCAAGAACAAAAATGCAGCTGTAGTTAAAATCAAGGAAAAACCATGAACTTCAGGAGCTAGATTCCATTATACTACCAGGATAATTTATTTTTAAGGGCTTTTGGAGGAGATAGTATTTTGGACATTTCTCTAGTTATTATTGGCCCTTGCCTCTCACCCCTTGCTACCAGTAAAAAAACAAAACAAAAAAACCCAAATATATATATATATATATATATATATATATATATATATATATATATATATATCACTTTCTTTGGAGACATTTAACTTCGGGGAGAAATTGAATATAAATTATCTTATGTGGTTCAAGACAGTGATAGGAAGAAAGTTAGTAGTAGTAAAAATATTGTTGGTAGGAAACAAATGGAAGAAACCAGTAGTAGTAAAAATATTGTTGGTAGGAAACAAATGGAAGAAACCAGCTTGAGTCTGAGAAGTATCTCTGGATATAGGCCTTGCTAAAGTCATGGAAGTATTTCCAATGACAGGAGGTGAGGATGCCCACAGGCAACCACCTGGAAGGTGGCAGGAAGTGTCTGGTCTACTTAGCGCTTCTGTGTGAGAGGATTTCACGACTCTGACTATATATTTTCCTGAAGGAAATCAGCACTACAGTACCTTTAAAAAAGAAAGTGATGAAAATTATAAGTTCAGTGAATGAGTAAGTGAATGAATAGAGATATTCCACTCCACCCACCCATGGGAATTCAATTCTCTTCTATTAGGATAATTTTATATAGTCAATTGAGGTGTAGAATGTACTTTAAATATATTCTGCATGCTCTCTTAAATAGTCTGAGAGTTCACTCAGTGTGGATGACATTACAAATAGCAACCACTGAGTTTTAAATAACCGACTTAAAAACAGAATTTTGCAAATATTAACAACTGTAATAACTGTGATTTGAATACTAAGTTTCATATTCTGTTTTGCCTTGGACATGCATCATTTCTTTTTGTGCTCACAAAGAACCAATGAGGTCAGTATTAACATCCCGAATTTATACAGGAAACAGAGGCTCAGGATGTTAAATCACATGTTCAAAATTGCACAGCTAGGAAGGGGCTCTGCAGGGGCTCTGAGTAAGAGACAGGGAGTCGGTTCCCAGGCACACCTTAACCTTTAATTTGTCTTATGAACACAATCAATGAACACAGTCAATAAACATTTTTTGAGACACAAACTCATTTCAGAGTATAGATCCCTTCCTGAGATTAACTATGCATGTGTACATTGATATAAAATTTCCAGGACATAGACATACATGCTGCCAACCTCTGTACATATTATGAATTCCATGTTTAATTACATAAATACCAGACTTAAGAAGCCCAAAAAAAAAATCTATGAAATTATATTAAAACTAGAGGCCTGGTGCATAAAATTTGTGCACTCGAAGGGGGGGACCCATCAGCCCAGACTGCACCCTCTCACAGTCCGGGAGCCCTCAGGGGATGTCCATAGGGAGCGGGCCTAAGCCATCAGCCATCAGTCGGACATCCTTAGCACTGCCCACGGAGGCGGGAGAGGCTCCCACCACCGCTGTTGCACTAGCCAGCCATGAGCCCATCTTTTGGCTGAGCAGCGCTCCTCCTGTAGGAGCACACTGACCACCAGGGGACAGCTCCTGCTTTGAGCATCTGCCCCCTGGTGGTCAGTGCATGTCATAGAGACCAGTCGTTCTGCTGTTCGGTCAATTTGCATATTAGCCTTTATTATATAGGATAATGTCTTATTATGGGCAACGCCTCTAATTCAAATTTTTTTAGGTAGTTAAAGGGAGGGGCAAAATTTTCACTTGAGCCTGAAGCTAAAATTGCCCTTAGCTCAAAAATCTGCATACCTCTGAGACACACCTTGGTGCGACTCATTCTGAACCCCCACACTGTTCTATTATGTGTATAAGTATTGGAACTATCTTATCTCTTTAGTGAAAGGAACCTTTTTTTAAAAAATATATTTTATTGATTTTTTACAGAGAGGAAGGGAGAAGGAGAGGGATAGAGAATTAGAAACATCGATAAGAGAGAAACATCAATCAGCTGCCTCCTGCACATCTCCTACTGGGGATGTGCCTGCAACCAAGGTACATGCCTTTGACTGGAATTGAACCTGGGACCTTTCAGTCTGCAGGCCGACGCTCTATCCACTGAGCCAAACCGGTCAGGGCATAACATTTTTTATGTTCCAATGACTAACTTTATCTCACGAGTTGTGTTTTGACTTCAAGCCTCTATCCAGTACTCATGCAGCAATTTCAGCTCTTCTGTTCAATATTTACCTGGCATATCTTTTATTTTATTTTCTCTAAATCTTTCTAGATTTTTATGTATTAGATAGGAATAGCCCATGGACACAGACAATAGTCTGGCGAAGGCCTGGAAGGGGTGGGTGCAGGGTGGAGGAGATCAATGGGGAAAAAAAAAACTAAAACAAAGGGACATCTGTAATACTTTCAACAACAAAGATACATTTTTAATAAAGGAAAATATCTTAGTTGAAAAGAGTTTTATGTGAAATAATATAAGTAATTGCTCTACACTGTACTTTATATTTTCAACTCCTCTCAAAGTGAACCCTATGTTCACTTAATATTAATTGACCCTATGTTCACTGACTGCAGGACTGACTTCCGCCACGCCGACCCAGCACTGCCACCGGGGCTGTGATCAGACCCTGCTTTTTTCTCCGGGCCTGATTGCAGCCCCCCTCAGCAGTCAGTGCTGGGTCGATGAGGAGCCCGCAGAGCGGCAGCCATGGCACTGACTGCAGGACTGACTTCCGGTGTTCGGTGGAGCCTTTGGTCATTTTGGATGTTATGGACCCTGGCTCTTTATATAGATTGGAAAGACATATGAGAATCGCAATAAAAAATCTTGGAAAGGGCTTACTATAGAATTAAACAAACATGTGCCTGGCACTGTTGTGGGTGTTTGTGATACACCAGATCCATGTATTCTCCCTTGGGGAACACAGCATCATATAATAGCTGATGACTTAGGGTGTGCTCTTCATCCTGGAGGATAAAGGTGTGCACCATATTCTTGCAGAATATAATATCCAAGCTGCCACTTTAGGTGTGTCTTCAAAAAGCCATTCCATCATGCTATCAGGCTGGCAGAATCAGGGTAGTAGGTTATGTGACAGGAACAGTGAGTCTTGTGATCAGGTTTCTGTCACACCTTGTTTGCAATAAAACCGCATTGCCTGATTCAATGCAGTTTATGTAGGGCCATGTGTTGGTAGATCAAACATTGTGTCTGCTCTTGGATGATAGTGCTGCCTAATGAGTAGGAAAGTCAATCACATAGAGAATGCCACTCCAAATAAATTTCTGTCTCCCAAGATGGAATGGACACAATGTAATCAACTTTGTCTGATTGATCCACTCAAGAGATGGTGCCATCGTAGAGGGTCAGCCTTAGTCCTGCTGCTGGCAGATTAGATGACTGGTAGCATCAGTACTAGGTCCACCTTGGAGAGAGACGGGTCATATTGTCGGGCCCGTGCACAGCTCTGTTCCTGAATCCTTCTCCCGAACAAATCCTTTGTGCAACATTGGGGTGACTTTTGACAAAGACTGTCTATTGTTAATTGGTTACGTTATTCTATGTAGTTATTTAGTGCCCTTTTAATAGCAGATTCTTTCTAGTGGGCATTATGATGTAAATCAAAGCTATTCACACTTCATGCCTATGTTTATGTGTCAATTCACATGTCTCCTCCTCAGACATCTTTGGTCGCCTTCCAAGCCCCTGACCAATAAGCGTTGGCAACCATTTATCACTGCTAAAGAGTCCACATATAAGCTTATATCAATGTACTCCTCTTTTGACACAAAATAGATGATCTTGCAGCCTACCCAAACCTCTGCCAATGGGAGAGACTGCCCCTCACTGCTGTCTTTCAAGGCAACCCCTGAGTGAGGCCATTGTGTGAGTCCAAATAATATATCTGTTATCCACTGTTGTGTAACAAACCACCCCAAACTGTTTTAAAACAACAACAGTTAATTATTTCTTAAAGAGAGATGACAAACATGGTCAAGAATGGATTCAAGTGAAGTGGAATGAAGGAGAAAGCCATGAAATGAGATTGTTACAATAGTGATTGTGATATTACCACCGATAAACAATGGCAGGACATGAGATAAAGGGATTGTGAGCTACACAATAAGGTTTTAAATAAATATAGGAGATAAACTATAAAATGTATTATGCTTTCTACTGTTCAAAATCAGAAATCCTTACCTTGGTCTTCAGACCTCTCTCCACGCTGGACTCCATTGCCTGTGAAATATTCTCCTCTGGCTACAACTTTAAAAGATCCTATCAGAAACTGTTGTAAGAAAATGTTCTACTTACTGCCTCCACGTTATTATTTCAATCTGCAATTTTCCTCCCACCCCATCATACTCTAGCCCTCAATGAAATACTTAATTACTTCTTATAAACCAACTCAAATAAATTATTTTTGGAAGTGAGCACTTAAACAAACAAATTGAGTCTCCATGAGAAAACTCCTGTCAAGAACAGGTCTTTCCTTCCCTGAACACACTGAACTCCTTACTGCCAGGACACACATCTTACTGATCTTTATACTGCTGTACAAAGCACATACAGATGCTTAAGATTTGATGGATGAATGCCTTAGCACCTTTTTCTTAGGCCACACAGTATTATATTTTGGAGTCATTTATCATTTCTATAATTTAAAATGTCCTCCAAGTCAGAGACAATGTCATAATTTTGATTTTCATAGCGGCTAGCAAAGCATTTTAATATCAAGTTAGTCTCATATTTAAGTTAGTTGGTTAAGGAAATTGCCGCTTGTTTGGGACACATGAGAAGCAAAGCTCATCTGTGATGTAATTACAAGAACAGCCACAGTCAACCCATGAGGATCTCTGCAGGTGGAGTGGCCCTTTAGCGATGTCTTGAATGGAGGCAAGGCGGACAAACCTTGAACCAAGATCATTTTTTAAAGGACACAGATGTGATCCATCAGCATTCAAAATGGTGGTCAATGAGCAGAATGACTATTTTAATTCTAAAAGGGGATCCGGAGAGTATATGACAGCATCAAATACAGCATCCCCGAGAGGGAAAAATGCAGTCTCTTGCTCACCTTCTATAAAAATCCTGTTCCTGAGCTTTGGGTGAAAAGATAAGATGGAATTCACTTTTAGCACACAAGCCTTGAACTCCTCTTCTAAGCCCCCAAACTCCATTTGCTCTTTGAGGATTTGAACTGGCCCCTCAGGTATTTATTTCTGCCTCCTGTTGCCTGGATACTGGAAAAGTTTCTCACACTCACACAGTGCTAGTCACCCATGTCAACACAGCCCCTGCCCCAGCCTCCTCAGGCAGGGTCTCCCTGCCTCAGCAGACATCTCCGTGGACTATGGCCTCCCGGGAGCACACTGTTGTTCCTAGCTTGAAGATCACAGCATTAGAGAATATGACCCTGAGAAAATATTCTCACCACTGTCCTCTATTTCTTTCACCTTCAGAATCAAGGCTTATTTCTTAGTTAATGACTTCTATATGTAGGTATATCTCTGAGGTATTGTAGGTTTGGTTCCAGACTACTACAATAAAGTGAGAATAGCTATTAAGCGAGTCACAATCTTTTTTTTACTGGTGGAGGGTCTTGCCTTGAATTTGCAAAAAATGCAACCTTGATGAAATGCAATAAAATGAACTTCAATCAAATGAGGTACGTCTGTACAAGGAAGGAGCATCAACTTCTTTTCAACCCCGACATGCATGATCTCTGCGTCCTCCAAGAAGGAGCTAGAATATCTGTTGGGCAAGTTTGCTTGCAAGGATGACTTGTCTCCTTGGTTCCTCCTTGTTGATCTTAATTTTTGGATGGCTAAGGAAAGTCTCCCATAACAAGTGTTGTTTTCTAGAAAATACTCATCTTTCTATAACTAAATTTTAAAAGGAGAGGAGTGGGAAGTACTTCCCTTTCACCTGGCAACCCAATGCATTGAATATACATTACATAAATGAGTAGGTTCTAAAGGTGGTTTGTACTTGATTGGTTCCAGCTGCTCTGAGATCAGACCTCATACACTAAAGTCAAGTTAATGGACACAGTCTCTCACCAGAGCTCCCACTGTTGCTGGGTTTCAGATCAGAAATGGAGGTTGGAGACCACTCCTTGTGACCTTATTTGCAGAAAAGTTGATTTACTAGGAAAACTGATAAACCAGCATGATCAACTATATCTCTCCAAGTATCAAACAAGGCCTCGAGTTCAACTCTGTCATTTAGTTGGGCTCCATAAAGACATCTGTCACCTCTCTTTCTCTTCTTAACTAAAGCTTTGCTAAGAAGGACAATATAGATCTCCTGTGAATTAAAAATCTTCTTGAATAATGCCCTACTGTATTTTACTCTTGTAATAACATGCTTTAACTGAATCTGATTTTCCAAACTGTTCAATAGCACCTTGTTATTTGGCTCATTGCAAAAGACTCTCTAGTATTAACACATTTTCCAGGGAACTTTTCTGCTTCCTGTTGGTGCATGGTGGGGGCATGGATGTGCGAGTCCCAGCAACTCTCCACCATTATCAGGTGAGCTTTACGATGCTGTCAAGTATTTCATCACAAAGATGAAGTTCTGACAGGACTGAGGTCATGTGTACCTATTAATGCCAAGCCCATACACTTTAATCTCCTTCACATCTCTGCCTCTGCAACCTGCCACTACTGCTATGCAGCAAGTTCTCTTCAGACTCAAAAATCCCCTTGTCTGTTCAGTAAAATCGGACTATCTGAGAATGTAATCTAGTGTACACTTACTAGGTTAGCAGCCTCTACTGAGGGTTCCAAAGCTTGCTGATAACTGCTTCAACAGTAGATGTCCTGCATCTGAGGGATTCTGTCTCAACAAATGGAGCTTGGTAGGGGCCTTGGGTCAGCAAAATCACAATGGCCATGTATGAGCTTCCCCTTCCAAAGAGAATGTTATATTTTAGAATATCTTGAGGTAAACTTAAAAAAAAAAACACAACAAACCCTCACCTGTGACTTGGATGGTTTTGGCTTATGGTTTTGCTTTTTGCTTAAAATATTCAATCTTGAACAGTGTGTCTCTCTGCACAAACTGAAAATCAGAGTAGATCTCTACCTTGGATTCTCTATGACACTATTGTGGATCTATTCCTTTAAGATTCTTATAAAGGCTATTGTTCAATTGAAAATAGAGAGTCTACGAGGCACATCCTGAATATCCATAGAAGGCTTTTTGAAAAGATCACCTTAAATCTTCCAATGTCTTTAAAAGGGTCTTGCAGTCACACACTTTGCTTTATATTTACTCCAAATTCCCTTTATCTTCCTTCATATTTAACCTAACAGTACCCTAAATATTTACCCTTCATATTTACCTTTTCCTGACAGCACCCTGGATTTGACCTTTGCCCTAAGGCTCCTTGCTTTTGAGAGTCTTTCGAATCTTATTTTCAAACAAGGGCCATTCTTATTTGCTCTACATTCTGCTTGGAAGTGGAATGTCAGTAGAGGCTGCTCACCTAGTAACTGTACACTAGATTACATTCTCTAATTTCTTCTTTAGCTCATATCTGTTTATCTTCATTTTATGACATGCAGCTAAAAGAAATTAGCCTAGAAATATCCTTAGCCAGATCAATTCATTCATAGAGACATTTCTATTTTATGCAGGTGATGATTTTCCCAAACTTTCCACCACTATATATCCAACATCTTATTCTATCTTCTAGCCCCCAATAACATTTCTCTTACCCTCCTTCAAGCCTTCACTGATAGCTACATTGCAGCTCAATGGTCGTGGTAATACCTACTTTCGGGTAACAAAATATTACTCCTGCTACATAGCAAATTCACCTAAAATTGTTCAGTAAAAAATAACATTCATTCTGTTTTGCTCATGATTTTGTATGACAGTAATTTGGGGCAGGGCTCAGGTGAACAGATCCCACCTGAAGGACTACAGACATTTGAAGGCTCGACTAGGCTGGATGTCCAAGAAGGCTCACTCTCATGGCTGGCAGTTGATGCTAGCTGTCCACTGGGAGCCCAGCTCAGCTGTCAGCCAGAACATACAGAGATGGCCCCTACATACGACATAGCTTCCTCAACATCTTGGTGACTTTGGATAGTTGGATTTCTTACATGGAAACTCAGGACCCCAAAAGTCAGTGTTCTCATGAGTAGGGTGAAAGCTGTATCACCTTCTGTGATTTGGCCTCAGAGGTCACATAACATCAGTTGTACTCTAGTAGTCAAAGTAGTTACAAACCCATGGAGATTCAAAGTGAGGGAATGTATACCCACCTCTCAATGTGAGGAAAGTCTAAGAAGTTTGCAGCCATTTTAAAAAACCCACAAGGGGCCTTGCTGTCTTGCTTTCTCTTGTATCATCACCCCTTATGGTAATGCCAGAAACGCAAAGGGTGCTCTATAAGTGTTTGTTGAAATCATGGATTTTGGTAAAGAAAGGAAAGGAATTATGCGGGTGATACTACAACTAGTGAGACAACATTGAGGTCTTTATCCCTGGGATGTTCAAGAAGAGAAGAGACACTATTGGCTACTTGGGGTGATGTAAGCACTCATTTGTCTAAAAGCAAAGGGCTGACCTCGTGTATATTCCTTTTTGGTCCTTTTCATTTTTTGAATATTCTAGGCCCAAGGGAAATTCATAATTATCAGAATTTTTATTTGAATTTTTGAATAACAGTCAGGTTCCCATACTCCGAAAGCATGTAGAGTTATGATAACCTGATAGCAGTCTCAAGAAACATCTGGCAAGCAAGTGATCTGGAAGAACTATGGATGCTCTCCCAGTTCTTTATTCCAGGGAGCAACATGGGTATACAGTTGAACATCTTTTTCTGTTCCATGTTATTTTGTGTATAGAGTAGAGTGTTTTTATTATCTTGTGCCACAAAATACAGAGAAATCCTTCATGTGGATGGGAGGAGCTATAGGAATATTATATACCAAGGCCAACTACCTAGACTCTGAGCTAGGATTAGATTCAGTAAATGTCCTTCTTACATATCATAAGATTAAAAAAAACCCTTAAAAACATTGGTTATTGTTCCTTAGTATCCCCACCTAACAAGTTACCATATTTATAAGTGGAAATATCTTCTGAGAAATGTCAGGCATCTTGTTTGAATTCTTTGAAACAAAACAATTTCTGTGATGCAAGTATAGTGATGCCAAGAAGTCCATCTGCCCCCCAGAATTCCATCCTTTAAATACTTTGTTATGGCAGCATAAAAGAACACAATGAGTTATGTTTAGAGTGTCAGTCTTCCATCTCTGGGCTAAAAGGATTAGGTCTAAATGGCACATCATTACATAAGACTGCATGAAAATGTTTCTTTTGTCCTTGAAATACTTCATGGTATTTTATAAATAGGCAAAAATATTAATTGGACTGAAAAAAAAAACATTCAGAAGGCCTTAAATAGTACATGTGTCAGGCATTCTAATTTATGTGATTATTTTTCACCCAAAAGTCAGGGAACTCTTCAAGTACAATCATTTGTTGGACATGGTAGGGGTTGAGGAGAGGCCGTATATGTGGCGGTCAAAAGCATAGATTTTGGAGTCAGTCAGATCTGGTATAGCCTCTCTGGTCACTAAGTGTGACTAGGAAATTTACTTAACTTTTCTGTGGCTTATTTTCCTCATCTGTAACATGGAGAGAAAAATATTCACCATCTAGAGTTGACTTAAGGGTTAAATGGGATAACATAAGTAATCCACTTATCTGTGCTTGGCACAGAATATCTGCACAGTTAACAAGTCAGATAAGAGTGAGCATATATTTTTGATAAGTAGAGTGTGTGCGCGCGCGCGTCTGTGCGCGCGCGCGTCTGTGTGTGTGTGTGCGTTTGTGTGTGTGTGTGCGTGTGTGTGTGTGTGTGTGTGTGTGTGTGCGTGTGTGTGTGTGAAAGGAGGAGGGAGGGGAGAAAGGAAGGAGAAGGAAGGGTGAGAAAGGTAAAGAGACTGATGGAGAGGAAGAGAGAATATTTTGGTAAGGGTGTATAGAGAACCTTGTTAGGAACAGTGTGGATGTGATGATGGTTATTTGCTGATGCTAATGTATTTGATGAAGGGATCTTGAATGCTGAATATGTTGGAATGGAACAGGAATGGAATATGAGGAAACATTTGTAGATTTATGTTACTTTGAGACAGTCACTTGTCTCCTATACACAGAACAAAGCAGAAAGTCAGAAACATTTCCCACTTCCTGCTCCCCATTCTGTTCCCATTTCAACCATACTTTCGTACCCCTTCCAGCACTTGTCCCCACCCAATGTCAGAGGTCTGTCCTTTGAACAAGATTCAGCTGTCCACTAGGTGAAAGAGTTGGAAAGCCAGCAGGCCATAGTGATGCCACTGCAAATAACAGAGATATTTTCACATTATTATGGGAGGAAAGTCCAGTGTAATATACAAATAAAAATGGACTTTCCTAAGGAACAAGAGTTGGAGAAGGAGTGAAAGAAAGATTTTGAGGTGTGCAAAGTCTTTCCTTCCTTTTTAAATAAACTGGTAAGGTAATTTCTTCCTTTTTAAAAATATTTTTTTTATTGATTTCAGAGAGGAAGGGAGAGGAAGAGAGAGATAGAAACATCAATGATGAGAGAAAATCATTGATTGGCTGCCTCCTGCACACTCTAAGCTGGGGATTGAGCCCACATCCCGGGCATGTGTCCTTGACCAGAATTGAACCGTGACCTCCTGGTTCATAGGTCGATGCTCAACCACTGAGTCACGCCAGACGGGCAGGTCATTTCTATTTTTAACATTATATGTTGGGCCATTTGGAAAAAATACATTCAGTGATATAATGCAGTAATCTTGGCATTATTAATTAGAATAATAATTTCCATTGCTTAAGGATAATTTATATAATGGTTTTGTTTAAGTTCTGGGTTTTTCGATGCTTTCTGAAAAAAGAAATAGATTTGTATATTACCTTAACACAAGTCTGCTTGAAAGCAATTCTAACACCCTTCAAATAACCTTTTAAAATATTACTTATGAATCTAGGCACTTCAATAAAATGTTTCCTGTTTTTCATTTCCCTAAGGCTAAAGTGACACAATTATTAGCTTTTAATAGAGTTAAACAATAACCACCTATGCTTACCTTTGTGAAGAATGGAAAACAAATATACCTTGAAGCGTTGTAACAGTTGAAAAGATTCCCATACTTCAGCTCTTTCTTACTTTTCTTTTTTCCTGGAAGAGCACAAAAGAATTAAAAACTAAATTTCTAAATACATTTTTTCTCTACTTCAGTGCTGAATAAAGTTCTTTCTGTCTCAGAATGTTAACATTATCATACTTTCCAATGGGGACCATTTTTGATTCTGTATAGTAGTTACAATGTGCCAGGTAACATTCTAAATGCTGGGGATGTTCCAGAAAACAAAACACCAAAATCCCTGCCATCATGGAGTTTGTAGTCCAGTGGGAGGAGACAGAAGAGGACCAATATTTATAAATATAGAATGTGGTAATAAATAAGGAGAAAATTAAGGCAGGAAGAGACTAGGGAGTGTCAGTGGGGTTGGGCAGGGATTGTGATTTCGGATAGGATGGTCAGAGAAGGGCTCTTGAGAAGATGGCATTTAAGGAAAGATGTGAAGGAAGTAGAGGAGGATGCCATGCTTTAAGTAACAGCAGGCCAAAGTGGAGTCAGTCAAGGGCAGAGTAGTGAGAAATGAGAAGTAAGAGGTGGCCAGTCTGAGAGTCTATTATAAGAACTTCGGCTTTTATGCCATTACATTAAATGGCATTATCAGTAGAAAATGAGAAGCCATTATAGGTATGTCTACATCTGCTTGTCTCTCAAGATTTGTTCACCACTCTTGTCCATCCAGTTCTCTGACCAGGGGAAGCTGAACGGTATTTTCCTGTTTCTCCTCACCACCAATCACATTTCTTCCTTTTGACTACCTTCCCCCTCTTTCAATAATCCATGTGTCCCTCCTGCCAGGGAAGCAGAGACCAGATACCTGTGTTTCTCAGCAGGTCTCAACAGTGGACCTGAGCTTGCCTGTGTCAGCGCTAGGAACCTACTAAAATGCAGATTCCTTGGCCTCACTCAATTTCATCAGGATTGCTGGGATCGGGGTCCAAGAATCTGCATGTTTAAACACTTCCTAGGTGAGTTCTTTCTTTCTTTCTTAGTATATTTTATTGATTTTTTTACAGAAAGGAAGGGAGAGAGAGTTAGAAACATCGATGAGAGAGAAACATCAATCAGCTGCCTCCTGCACACTCCCTCCCCGCAACCAAGGTACATGCCCTTGACCAGAATCGAACCTGGGACCCTTCAGTCGGAAAGCCAATGCTCTATCCACTGAGCCAAACCAGTTAGGGCCCTACGTCAGTTCTTTCTTAATGTGAGGCTTAAACATTACAATCCTAGATCATAGTAACAGCAGCCTTTTGATGGGTATCCAATAAACTGTACTCATTTTTTTTTCTTAGCTCCAAATACAGAAACTTAGAAATATTTGGTTTGGCTCTACTATATTTTGACTATTACCATCTGCTAAATTGGTTTATCTTTATTCAATGCTTATAAAATACTTTATTTTGTGAAATATTTCATCATTAAGTATAGCCATAAGAACCATTTTTCACACTCCTCATCTACTTGTGTCTTATGAGACTTAATAACTGGTTTCCAAATTTATAAACTGTGAAAGAATTATCTGTGCTGTCTATGTATTTTTGTTTAACAGCACTGATTTTATTTTTATTTAAATTCTAATTTTCCCAAGATGAATCATTTTCAACGTTATATTTGAATCAGAAATAAAGGTACCCTAAAGTTACTTATAAATGTCATATATTTTCAACTGTTCAAGTTGGCAGCACTGAACTTTGAAAACCTTCAGAGTTATGGAAGGAAAATGCGTCTGTGACTTAGACTGTTGCAGAATTTGTGGCGAGGAATCCACATTTCCCAGTAGTTTGTACAGCGTTGCTCTCACATTACGCCCAGTCTTCTGTGAAGAGACACTAGATTGATGTTTCCCAGAGTATTTCTGTTACAGACTCCAGAGTTTGATGCTTTTAAACAAATACTGTCCTTTCTTTTTGCAGATTTCATAGGTTAATTTCCTTGTACCAAAATTTGCTATTTTAAGATACTGAGGCAAACAAGACTGTCAGAAATAAAGAACAAGGGAGGCACTGCCATGTACTAAGCAGATAATAATAAATATCTACCTGAGTAGCTGAATCTAATCCCTCTGAAGACTGGTTCATTTGGCCTCTTACTAATAATTTAAAATTCTTTCCTAGCAGAGAGAGGGTGTGGTATTTTGATTGAGGGAGCTGCATAATGGATTTGGCTGAGACCAAAGGTTAAACTTGCCTTTTAAGCTGGAAAGGATCAGATGGAGTCTTTATGGCCCATTCTGGCTGGACTGTGTATACAACGAATACTCAAAAGCATGCATTTCCTCTCAAATATTAGGGTTTGCAGCTGCTGGTTAAAAAAACATCCAAATGGATACCAAAAGCTGAAGCAAATAGTCCATACATTTTAAGGATATGAGAAGAAAGGCTTGTGAATCTTTTAAATATATGTTTTATTGATATTTTTACAGAGAGGAAGGGAGAGGGATAGAGAGTTAGAAACACTGATGAGAGAGAAACATCGATCAGCTGCCTCCTGCACACCCCCTACTGAGGATATGCCCACAACCAAGGTACATGCCCTTGAACAGAATCGAACCTGGGACCCTTGAGTTTGCAGGCTGATGCTCTATCCACTGAGCCAAACCAGTTAGGGCAGTGAATCTTTTAATAATTACGTTGCACATAACACAATGTCTTATAATAAAAGAAATTCTTGCAGAATTTCTGTTTCTCTATGCTTTTGGTTAAATTGCTTAAGTCAATGTGTTAAACATGAGTGCATTTTTCAGAAAGATAAATTTCCCACTTTTAAAAAATAATTGCACATTTTTGTTAGTAAAAGGGCATATAAAAGCTCTAAATATTAGATGTACTAGATGGTAGATGAAGATTAATCTATACAAAAAGAAAGAACATTTTGTATTATGTACCTCAGGAGGCTTTGTTTACATTACTTTACATTGTTATATAAGGGTTATATTGGATTTTGGAAATCCTAAGTCTGAAAAGAGCCCTGAAAGTTTTTTAATTCAGGAACACTATAGTCAACAGCAATGCTAATAATATAGCTAAGCTTTGTACATTTACCATCTGCTGGGCACTGTTTTAAGAAGCTTCACCTATGTGATCTAAGTGAACCCTTATGACGTAAATATTAACTTCATTTGACAGATAAGGGAACTGAGACACAAAATGTTTAACAAATCTGCCTGAAGTTAGCGTTGGCACGTGGAAGACTCGGCACAAGAGCTGAAGAAACACTTGTGAAATGATCCCAGCCAGTTCTACCCATGAAAAGTGTACACAGCTGTTGAGAGTGTGATTTGAAGGTGCCAAAAGGTCTAACCAAATACATTGCCTTCAACAGTTTACAACACTGTTTTAAATTCCCACCAATAGAGAGTGCTTTGTATGAAGACAATGCCTTCAAAAGGCTGTATCTTTAAAAATGTTACCTAAGAATTGCCCGTTAATGATAGCAAGACAAAGTTGACACATTTTAGGGAGATCTGGATGATAAAAGGAGAAAACAAAAGAGTTGTTGAAGGCAAATACCACAATATACATACACTCTTGGTTAACCTTGGCAAGTGGAGGGGTGGTAAAGACAAAATTCACCCCCTTGGCTTCAGCTATAGATGGAAATTATCCATTTTAAGCTGTCTTCTCATTTGGGAGATAGAACCATACCAGAAAGTTAAAACTTTACTATTTGCAATGGTAAAACTGGGCTAACAGCAAAAATTATGTATATTTTCCTCACCACTTCCCTTTTTTAACAAAGATTCCTATTAGATGTCTCACATATGAATCCTAATTGATATTTGAAATTTCCAATATATATGTGAGAATGCATTGACCCTAAGCACTGTCCAAAGATTTCATCATATTCTCATAAGTATATATGAACCCACAAAACAGCACAAATTGAACCTAGCCCATCTGCACTTCTTACATATTCTCTAAAATTAGTGTCTGCTTTAACAGCTAAGAGAGCATGTAAGTGTTTTGAATGATGTATCCTAATGAGTATCCAGAGCTACGTTCATGTTGATATTTTAGATAGCCAAATATGGTATGCAAAATGACCACGACCAGGATAACATTACATGCCACAGGCTTGCTATAATTATCTTGCACATTTTTACTGTGTTTCTGCAACAATGGATGCAACTATTCAGGATTGGAGCTTTAAGTAAATAATATGCTACGGGGAAGTGAGACAGGCATGTGGATAAAAGTTCTTGGGTTAGGCAATTGGAATGAATAGTCAGTTAATAAAAAATGCTTTTCAAAATGAACATACTGATCTGACATTCTCACTGAGCTATTAGCAGGTTCATTTGAGTTCTTAAAAAATTTTCTTTACTCTGTGTTTAACAACAAATGTGGGCCAATTGCTGAGTTAATTGAAAAGGATTGTTTTCTTGTTGCCAAGAAACGGCACTTTCTTACATTATGCAGGCCATTATGTGCACAGATCAAGCCTCCTGATTTTTCTTTGAGGGTTTAAGAATATAGGCTGCTCTGATTTAGTTCTGTCTGGAAGAGAGAAGCGCAAATCAAGAACACTTTCAGGGGTGTTGTGTTGTTCCAGTTCCATTTACCAGGTAAGCTTTGGATTTGAAAGTACTACCTTGTTCCTCATGCTTAACTTTTCCTAAATCACTTAAATGCTTTTATGTTGAGTGAATGAGTAGATCTAAATGAGGCTTTACTTGGGAGAATTTAGAATCATTCTAAGTTGATTTTTTTTTTCCTAGCTGAATGTTCTGAGGGGAAAAAAATGTAAAGATCATAATAGACGTCCGTGAAACTGGCTGCAGAGTTTTTTTTTCTTCTTGATTTCAGAGTAGTAAATACATGCAAAGCAAGAAGCTGTGAGTGTGTTTAGAGTTGAAATAGCAAATCATTGCTATGGGAGCAAATGTTATTTCTGTTTGGAGCAAAAATTTCAAATCTTGTCTGACTAGTTCCAACGGAGAAATGAGCTTTATATTTGTTAACTTCTTAAGGAAAATTTGTTTATCTTATGTAGAACTACATCACATGTCTCTCTTTTTTAAAAAAAAACTATATTT